TGCCGGTGTGTTCGGGGGACTCCCGTGTTCTCTCAAGGGGCCAAGTGTTGTCATGCCGCCTCGACTGTTTGCATTGAGTCCTCATGTCGAGGTAGCCCAAGGTTTGCGGCTTTGCGCTGGGATAAAAGCAGCAACCATAGTATCCTTGTGAGGCACGTCACGCACGTCCTACGTTTGGACTTGCGTGTGATGGCGACCTCCTTCAGTCCTTCCAGCACTTTTCTTGATGACCCAGGTAGAGCAAACTCCGATCCGGGGCCATGCGATCAGAAATCGCGATGCTCGATAGAAATGGGAAGAGGTCGAGACAAACGAAAGAGAAAGGGGCTCCAAGAAGTCCCAGTGTCTAAGAGGAGCTCAGCAACTTGCGGCGCCAGTGGACGAAGAAGAAAGCCGTGCAAGATGGAGGGAAACACTCAACAGAAAGAGTCTGGTGCAGGCAGAGCCACTAAGACAACAGGAGCCGCACACACACACACACAGACATACACACGTACACCATGGACAACCGATTACACCGGCAGGATAGCACAGGCCAAGCCGCAGGAGTAGAATAAAGCAATGTGAACGAGCCTGGCCAGGGGGATGGGAGAAAGGAGGACCTGCTTCGGCTGAGGAGAGAGGCTTGGCCTTTCCACAGCTGCAGGGAAAACGGTGAAAAGCGCGGCAGCTACGCAGAAAGATCGAACTGAGACGTGGGGAGCACGGGCAAAGCTCAGGCGATGAAAACCACGATCCTCAAGAGATATACACCAGCATGCCAGATGGTCAATGAGCCAACCACCGCACAGAAGCAAGAGATCACAGAATGGGGGAGATGCACCCAGCAGCCAGGCCGCAACGGAAGGGGCCCAGCCATGCCAGAGTTGCGGCCTTGCTAAAAGCGGGCGGAGAGGAGCCAGACTCGCCCGAGGTGACACGTAGAATGGGATGGAGCTGATGGTCAGGCGATGCCAGGCTGCCCAGTGTAGCCATGTCGACTCCTGCCACTCCCCCGTGGCCACAGTGGCAGTGGAGTGCATCAACGTAGCAACTGCAACTGCGTGCGGTGCGCCGAATCTCTACCCCAAAGAATACCACGAACACGCGCGACGCAAAAAGCTGACGCACCCGCCATGGCGGCATTTGCCCAGCTTGGTCTGCTGCTGCTGCTGCTGCTGCTGCTGCTGCTGCTGCTGCTGCTGCTGCTGTGTGCGTGGGTGTGTGTGTGTGTGTGTGTGTGCGTGGGTTGTGATTGTGAGGGTTGTGATGTGATTGTCGTCGTGGTACCACAAACTGTCTGCAGCCATCCGGTGCTGACCACTGCCGAGGACAAATATCGAACGGCCAAACGTGTCTGCATGGGAGATGCTCCACTCCGTGGACTTCTACCTCTTGTTGCTGATCTGATTACAATGCGTTTTTACTTCAGCGGCTTGTAGGCTTCAGTGTAAGGCACCTTGTCTTCGGCGACACGAACCCTCCCTAACTTCGGGCTCGGGCTTCGACTTCTCGCTGCCCCCTGAGCTTCAGATCTTCCGTAGGCGGACTATTTCAGGCAGCAGGGCCGACAACAGCAGAAGTTCAAAGTGGGATCGGTTGACTTCTGTCCACAGGACATACTGAGGCCTGTCCAAGTAACCTGGTAGGAAACCTTCCACTCTCTGTCTCTGTCGCGGTTTCATATGCCAGGCACGGGTCGTGTCAGCACACTGAGCTCCAGGTCGGTGGTGGAATCACACAAAGCAACTGCCCGTAAACCTCGTCGCAACATAGTTTGAGCTGTTATCTGTCAGTCTGAGTCAAGCTGAAAGTAAGGTACGGTACGCCTGCTTCGGTTATTACATATATGTAGCACACTTGCGAAGCAGAATCTTTGAACTAACGCGGTTTGTCTTCCTGCTTCAGGTACTTCACTTTCGTCTCGCTCCAGGGTTCGGGCATCATGTTTTCCAACAACTTTGGTCAGAGCCTGGGCAGACAATTGGGGCAAGTCGTTGCCGCGTCTTTCTCCCTCGTTTTCTGGATATGACAGCTCTGAGGATCGTGAAATCTGTTTCTGGCAACCCAGCAGCCTCCAGCGGCATTTATGTGTCGAGCCTCAGGCGAAATATGAAGTGATATGTACCTGCCTAAGTGAGCTCATAGTCCCTGGAGTCTGAGCCATGAGCATCACGCCCTTGTGCTGCAGGGAATCTAGATTCTTCAGCCTCACTGTTCCGCCCCAATCAGGATTTTCTCGATTTTCAACACCTTCGGGCGCGTCTTCATAGGCTTCGGCTCTGAGTCCTTGAGCCTTGGCTTTGAGACTGCAGCCATACTGCAGCTTGTTGCGCCCAGCTTGGTAAAGCCTCTTTTGCTCTTAAGCTTTTTGTTGCCACAAGGCTTTCGAACCGACATCGTTGTTAGTCGGTTTAATAGCGTCCCGGCTGAGCACAGGAAAGGGAGACTGAACCGACCTTGGTTCCTCGTCGGCACTTCCGCCCTCATGTCACTGGGCCTGGCGGTTCTGGAGATGGGAGAGGACTGCGCAGTCATCCCCAGCATGAGCTCCAAGTTCCACGAGCTGCGCAAGGTTAAACATGCCCGACTCCAGGATTTTCTGGGTTTCAGCGCCGGGGCCGTTGGCTTTGCGATCGGCGGGACCTTTGCGCTGCAAGCGGTGCCGTGGGATGTCAATGGAAAACTCGCCAGATGTTGCATACATGTATGAATGTGTGTATACAGTATACAAGTATATGATGGTATATGTATTTTCAGGAGGTTTGTCACGTGACTGGATAGTAGCAATGGTGAAGTTTTCCCACGGACTCTGGAAGTCAGTGCTTCAAAGGAAGCAAGAAATCACGACTGGGCTTCGACTTCGTGTCAAACTGGTTTCTTTGGGTGTTTGAAGATGGTTGAGACGGTGAGGAAGCTCTGCAGATGCCCAGTGGTAGCATCCTTTGAGCCGCTCGCAGATCGAAATAAAGGAGGCTGCTGCACCAACAGGTTCTTGAGCTGGACTGTAGCACCCCAGGTGGTGACAGAGGAGATCTTCGGTCCAGAGGACCCGCGGATTGGCTTGAGAACGCAGTTCCAAGAAGCACGAATTGGGGTAAATATGCCTGTGGACCCGGGTCCCTTGCAGCACTTATTGCTAAGTTGAGACGAAAGAAACGTCAGGAGATGCCGGTGAAGTACAGCTACTCTTTCACTGCAGCATCTGTGGGCTCCTTGCTGTTGAGTGACCTTCTTGCTGGCGTGCTCTACGATGCAGAAGCCCATCGCCAAGGCACGGCGGAGCCTGCATGATGCAGGGTTGCCTCCGTTATGGTGTCTTGCAGCTTTCGGTCATCGCTCAGTGATTCTAAGGTCAGTCGGTCTGCCTTGGCGGCAGCTGCTTCGGCGTGCCTCTTCCAAAAAAGTATGCGTGCTTTCTGCCCTTCGCGTCGTCGTGGTGCTTGAAATCGCGTCTAGAATTTTGATAAGAATATGATGCATATCATGTCTGTTTGAACTTGCTCTGGTAGTTCTGAATACATTTGATCACCTGAGGTCACGTTTGCAGTGACTTCGCTTTGCTGTGCGGTCGCGGCACTGTCCGTTGCGACCGTGGCCATCCGCTCCCGTGGAACGTAGCTCGGTCCCACTGGAGTCGCTATAGAGACTGGCGCGTTAATCCGATGTTGGGATCATCTCAGACGAGGTATGCCCAGCTCCAACTGCGGCGACCTCTCCTTGCTGGCACGGAAGCTGCTCTTCTTTGAGGTCAGCTGGCGTCCGACACACCAGGGCCGACTTTTGGTGTATCCTTGTCATCTGTGCGTTGTGTGAGTCAAGGCTTAAAGCCCCGAAACCCCCAGCGACCTGTGTGACCGTGAGCTCAATCCTGGCACTTCCGAGGCTTGAGCTTACGTCTTACGTCTTGCGGAGAAAAGATCCGCATACGGTGCCCATTTGTGAGTTTATTTGTTCGTCTCTTTGGATTTACTTCGGACTTAGGTCGTGATCTGAAGGTGAGAGAGCCTGGCAACGTGTGGTTGGGCCGCATGTATAGGTGTCTCCAATGCTTGGCTCTCGAGTGTTGCTGGACGAGCAGATACGTTGGCAGCGTCTATCAATTTCAGCACCAACCGGTCCGAGTGTGCAGTGCATTGTTGAGTCTCCGGCAGCATTCAGGGAGGCGCAACTCCTGGTTGGCCGCATTGCGTTCCTCAAACAGCTTAAGCTTGTTGAAGTAGACATGAGAAGAGGATCGACATGGGGTCTCCCACGACTGTCATGTTCTGCACTGCAGCAGTGCAAACTACATGTGGAGACACTGAGGGGCATCCATCGACTCACGGAGATTCAAAACATTCACTCCGCAAGAAGCATAGCATAGGCATAGGGGAGACCACAGCCCATGACACGGTGGTGTGCGGAGTAAAGAGGCTCGTTCGGCGAAGTGCGCTGGGCAGAGCCGGATTAGGGCTTCGTTCGTCTTGTGACACGGTCGCTAAGCTTGCCAGTCCGGAGCTACTCCTGTCGAGTGTTGACGGGGGACACCTTGCGATGGAGAGAGGGAACGAGGAACGATGCGTTGAGGGCAGCATCAACGTGAAGCAATGACAACTCCCGCCGCTCACGGAAGAAGCAAGCCAGCTCGAGATATTCTGAATCTCGACGACTCCGGAAATGCAAATCTCGCTGTGCATGAGCTATGCCTCTTCCCCACCCTGTGCAGACCAGAAACAATCAACCCGAGCGCCATGTTGCAATCTTGCATGTGATACTTTCTTGTGCATTCTGCGCTGTCGTCAGGCTTGTGCCATGTGCCAACTGGGCACACAGGCACATCGGGCTGAGCTGTTGCTGGTGCCCTAAGGTTCCCTGTCAGGCTTCATGTATGAGAGTGCTTAAGGCTTGGGGCATTTTCTTTGGGCCATTTGCCACTGCGGCAGGGTCTAAAAGGGAGCTTTCGTTTGGCCAGGTAACGGGTTCTGTGATCACAGCCGCAGCTTCAATTCGATGAGACTCGAGAGTGGCCTGTTGCAGGCATGGCCCTTCTCTTCGAAACGCCCAAAAATTTTCGACCTCCCCAGAGTTTCGCTCGGGAGCGACGTCAGGCCCGTCAAGCACTTTTGTCTGCTTTGCCTTGGGGCCGCTGCTCCCAATTTGTCCAGGAGCCTCTCCACGGTGGCCTGCTGAAATGTCTGACGGTGGAGCTGATCGTGGCACCCGCGTGTTAGACTCCCGGCCATGGTCGTTGGCAAGCTTCAACATCTGACGCAGGCCGTGATCTGAAAGCATAGTCATGTATGCCTGGGCCAGACCACCTACCAGCAGTGCTGCAATGACTTTGTGTACAGCGACACCACGGCCCCTCGACGCGTTCTCACGAAGCTGTCCAAAGGCAGGGCTTCGCCGCATGGATCTGAGCCTTTGCTAAAGCTTCTGGCCTGACGGCAAGGTGTGCACAACGGAAACTATGACAATGCCGAGCACGACTACATTTGCCGAGCCACCAGAATGCATCAGCTGAGTGCTCCTTCGGCGGAGTCTTGCATGGCTCGTATGCATTTCAGAATTCAGGTAGGTGATAAGATCGTGAACCCGGACGGCCATGCCTACGAAATCCTTGAGCGGCTGGGGCATGGCACCTTTGGCCAGGCCTGGACCCATAGGTTTTGGATCCCTCCGAAACAGCCTTCCGAAGGTCGCACTGGCTTGGAGAGGTCATGTTATGGATTGCAGGAGCAGAATTGAAGCACTGCATGTTTCCAGGAAGTCACTCGCCGCCGGGAAAGCAACAGCCCAAGAGTATGCATTGAATGTGCCTGGAAGGTCTTGAAGATTCACCACTCGACTTCCAACAGTCATGTGGACCCTTCCTCAGAAATGTGTCTGTCTTGTTGAACTCAAATGACTCAAATGAGCTTTTGTTGGAGATGAGTGCTGCTAACCAAGGCTTTAAAGATCATCAAGAACAAACCTGCTTATTTCCATCAGGCCGTCGTCCTGCCTTGAGTAGTCTCATCTTAGTTTCACGACTGCTTTCCGCGGGCCGCTTCGGCTCTTTTGTGCATCCAGTAAATTTGTGTGCTGTGAAGTGAATTGATGCGGCATCACGCTGTTTCCTCAAGGCGCTGGTGGAGGTACGCATTCTGCAAATGCTGAATCAGGACTTCTCAAGCCTGTGAGCAGCAGATCTCCAGGTAGCCACAAAACCCCAAGGCCAAACATATGCTATATAGCAAGCTGTGCTTTTAGGAGTTTGATCCTGATGACGACAAGCGGCGGGGTGCTGAGATAAAAGTGCTTCTTTGTTTCCTTTGACGGTAGCCCTCCTTCGCTCTCGGACAGCTGGCAAGTCTCCCATCAGGATCGTGAGGATGCTGGATTTCTTCGTATACAGAAAGCATCTGTGCATTGCATTCGAATTACTCAGCAAGAGCCCCAGCACGAAAGCCAACCACCGTTCTGTCAAAACACCTCGGGTCTTGTCTTGACTTCAGGTGTGAACCTCTATGAGGTTCTAAAGCAAAATTCATTCCGTGGCGTGTTCAGCTCTTAGTTTTGGGAGCGCCGACTCCTGACTGTCTCTTTGGCAGACTGCTTCCTGTGGCAAGGTCCATGGCCTTGATCCGCGTGCTCACAGATCAGCTTCTCAAGGCTCCGACATGCATATAGTAACAGTAATAGTATCAGTAGAAGCAACAGTAGTAGTAAGTTCATGTGTACTGGGGCTCGCGCACAGGCGTTGCGCTGCCTGCGCGAGGCCGGGGTTCGGGGGCGTCTCCTTGAGGGCCTTTGCGAGTTTTTTGGGATCTTAGGCCTCCGTCATCCACTGTGACCTGAAGCCCGAGAATGTCCTTCTCAGCCGGCACCTTACTAGAGAATAGCGTCTGACAAAAGCGCTTGCTTGCAGCATTGCATCTCGTTCTGATTCTAGCAACAGTTGGTGCTCGAAACTAGAACAGGCAACATTCACCACACGCGCATCAAACTGATCGACTTTGGATCTGCTTGCTTCGAAAGCCATACGGCGCGATGCCTAGCACAAGCCCGGTAAACTACTTCTGATCATCTGCTGATAAAGTAGCAGTTGGCCAGCAAGTGAAGTGACTAGGACCACAGCTGAGGTCTACCCGTACATCCAGTCTCGCTTCTACAGATCACCCGAGGTGTTGTCTTTGCCAAGACTTGTGGTGCTTTTTCTGCAGACACGGGTTTCACAGGTCCTGCTTGGAGTGCCTTACACCAGTGCCATTGACATGTGGAGTCTTGGCCTCAGCCGAAAGTGACTTTTCCGCACGCGTGCACGCATGCGCACACACACACACACCACAACGGTCGCTGGTCATTGCACTCTTACTGTAAAATCCGCCGGGTTTACCTATGCCAGGTGCTTCGGCTGCAACCATGCCGTCTTGAAAATTCATCATAGCACTTCGATGACAAGGATTATGACTGTGTCACAAGCAATGCAGATACATGGGGTTTAGCGTCCCATACATGTCACCGCAAACTTGCACGGTCTTCGTCCCCCAGCTTCATTGAATTTGCTGCATTCTCTTGTAGCTGGAAGTTCGTTTTGCCAAGATTGGACCCTCAAAGCCGGGACGGTTGTTCAGCTTTCAATTCGAGCCCCAAAACACAAAACACAACCTTCATTTGGGAACCTAGCCATCGAACTAAAGCTGAAGGTTGTGGCTAATATGGGGGCATACTACAACTAGAACAGGCATATAATAGCATAAGCATAGAGACGGCTATATGGGAATGATAGTACAGATTCTTCAGAGCCCAACATTACTCCCCCCAGCAGGGTTGAGGTTTCAAGATTTGAAGTTTTCAGTCTCTAGTCCACACACACACACACACACACACGCGCGCGCGCGTACACACTCGCACTCACATTGGGTGAAAAACCATGTAAAGGGCATGTGCACTACAGGTCTGGGCTGCATTTGCGCCGAGCTCTTCCTTGGCCTGCCGGTTTTCCCCGGGCACTCCGAGTACAATCAGGTCGCGATGGGTTGACATCAGCCTGATATGTACTGTACAGTAGCCTTTTCCTGGGCAGGTTTGCAGAATTGTGGAGGCCGCAGCCTGAGAAATGGATGTGGGTGTGACCTTGTGGCGTGGCTTTTCAACATTGATCGTTCCCAAGCAATGAGGTGCTTCGAATGCCTCCCTCAAGCCTTCTTGACGTGGGGCGCAACACCCGGAGATACTTCCGGAAGGTGCACAAGCTGAAGCATCATTTATGGATGTCGGGTGCCGTGTCCTGCTACGGTCAGGAATCTGTACCGCCGAAGGTGGAACAGGAGGATGGAGCAGAAGGCGAGTGGGGGTGGCGCAAGTTGCATGCACTGCAGTTCAGTGTGGCAATCTCCTATGGCATGCTGTCCGTTTGCAGGTGCTTCCAGCAGCGGCGACCATTCCCAGGAGCGCCGGCAGTAGTCGCAGAGTGGATGTTTTCGAACGGGGTGTGCATGAAGTCCAAACGCGGTGTCGCCAAGAGAGCATCCATGCTCAAACACAGGCTCAGGATCCTCGTGATGGAGATGCCTCACAGTCGAGCTCTTTAGGCCCGGCTGTAACATGAAAGAAGTTGATTTTGAGGTGAGTCTTTGTTGCAGCGGCAATGCCGTACTTGGCATCAATCCAGTTCTTGCAGGTGCAGCGGGCGATGAAGATCCGAAGGCACTGGGGAAGTTGATCAAAGTGCATCTGGCACTGAGAGCATGTCTTGGGCCGGGCCCGAGGAGCCGCCGGAGACGCAGAGCCCTGAACAGAAAGCCACGAGTCCCAAGGTTTCTGAGGCGCGCTGTCCTGGAAGAAAGGGGGGTGCGAAGGGTAGAGAAATGTCGCAGCGAGACCAGGACTCGTTCTGTGTCGTTTCTGGCGCCGGTGGGGATGGTCTGAACCTTGTGGCAGCAGATGCCCTTGAGCAGGCATATGGCATGCGCCATGTGTGCACAGAACTCTTGCCAGTCGCTCTAAGGTGCCATTTGCAACGGTGAGTACCGCAAGGCTTGTCATTGATGCCTTTCTTGCAGGGGTTGTTCCGAATCCGCCAACAACATACCTGACTGAGCAAGGGGTCGGAAACATGTTGCAGCCGTGAGCAACAGTGCGAGAGCAACGAGGTTTTCTTGCTTGACCCACTGGTAGGTTGACAGAAGCATACCTGTGAGCATAGTGGCGATTGTGCGGGCGGCCCCATGCTGGCTATTTTTTTACATATCTTGACATGTCCTTGGAAGAGTGAAGTTGAAGACGGTCGAAATGCTTGACAGCTGACATCGCACGCTTCGTCACGGTCTTCGCTGATTACATGGGCGCACCAGCTAGGCGTTCTTTTCGAGCCTCCTGTTAACTAGTGCTGCCATCACAAAGTGACTGCATGTGATTGCTATGTGTCATTCGGCGCTCGACCTCTTTCGTACACCCCCTGTAGCCCCTCGCTGTCGCAAATCAATTGGTAACACACAGAGCGGAGGTTGGCGAGCACAACGACAAGCCAATGCCCCACGGCAGCAACGTACGCTCAGATGGGGGTTTCATTTGCATCGGTATTGGAGGTTTGGGAGTCAGTTGTTGCATGATCGTAGTACTGCCAGCCTCTCCTCTGAGGTTGCCAATTTATCGGTGTGTTTTGGCCCCTGCCCCCACGTTAAGGTTGTGTGCAAGAGCGCTTAATCCCTAAGCCCAGGTACAAGAAAATCGGCGGCAATGCCATTATCTACTTCGACGAGTCGAGGCTTGTCTGCCCTTAGAGCTTCCGGAGTTTTTGGACCTTAGAAGTTCAGGCACAAGTTCTTAAATCACGGCTTCACACAACCAGCAGTCAAGGTGGAAGATCAATGCGTGCATCGACACCGGCGGTTGGTACTACTTTGCGCCGGATTCGGCTTCTACCACGCCCCCTGAAGGCCACAGATTTTCATGGTACTCTGATTCCATCCAGCTCGCACTGGGCAGCTAGTCCGGACTGCCCCAGACTTGGCTGGTGTCACTCACGTCCAGCAGCCCAGCATCAGCAGGTCAGTGGACGACCGATCCGTCCATGAAGGATGCGAACCCACCACCTCTAATTTCTACTCGCAAGGCCCCTCGTGTGAGCCTGCACGGGGCCGTGGTCTCGGCAGTAGCGGAAGACTTGTGGCGTGGAAGGCCGCAACCAAAAGTGCCAGCTTCCTCGACCTGTTGAAGCATCGCTTAGGCAGGATGGGGCTGTGAATCAAGTTGCTGAGGGCTGTGCTGAATGTCGAGTGAGGCATGGGGAACATGGAGACGGAGAAGCCGTCCGCAACTGCCCCTCGGTCCTCAAAGTGTCCCGATGGTTTGGACTGGCACTGTTTAGGTGAGCTCAGGCTAGAGCTTTACTTCTGAGACGTTCAGTCTTCCAAGGAGGGTGCTCCTGAGCCGTCTGCCACCGCTGAAGCCTCCACGGCAACCTCAGCTGCTTTGGAGACCCAGGACCCGTACTGTTTTCTTTCTCGGACACGGCAACACCTGTCAGAATCCGAATCGGGATGAATTCACAAAGCCTGCCCGATCGACTTTGCACAGGATCTATGTCATGCTTGCTGACTGCTCCCTTCTTTTGAGGACGGCAGCATCCAAGGAGGGCGCCGCCTGGGAGACGAGAGAGACACCACAGAGGCCAAGCATTGGCCTGGGAATGAAGTGAAGACTCGTGCACATGGTCGGGTTCCGCGTTTTCCTTTTCTGGCTGCAACGAAGGTTCCTTAAGACTTGCGGTGCTGGCTTTGCTGTAGTGGTTGCTGGGACGACGAATCCTTGGTCCTCAATGTCTCAGAGTGTGATCAAAGAGCTTGTCTCAGCCATCGGGTTGGGGATGATTGGCGTGCCAGCATGCTTGAGCGTGGAATGCGCAAGGCAACAAGCGAAAGGGAAACATCGAGCCACACCCTCAGCTTCATGAGCCGGTGCATGCAGCTGCAGGCTAAGTTCAGGCTGTGATTTTCGACTGTTCATGACAGTTCTTTTCTCCCAACCGTTGCGTGGGTGCATTGTGTGCAGCCGCTGGTGCTTGCCAGGCTTCAGCGATGCAGCACGTGCCATTGCAGAGCTCAAGCGAAAGCTCCCAAGGCGGCCCCACCATCTGGCTACCTAGCGAAACCACCCAGAATCGTTTGCTCTTGTCTCGACTTCACTTCTCCTGTGCAGGCAGAAGTCAAAGCGTCGCATCGCCTGGCGATTGAAAACCAAGGATGCTGGAAGTTTGAGAGGCAGCAAATATAGAAGGAGGCTTACTAGTGCAAGGAGTGCTACAAAATCGGCACTTTCGCAGGTACACAGAATGAAGCAGTGCAGCAAAGACTTTATTTGATTGATATACTTGATTAATTACATCGCCACCTGCAAAACTCTGGAATCTGATCATTCTGATCATTCCTTCGGAGGGTCCCTCCTCTTCATGCAGCTGTGCCGCGAGGAGGAATACGAGCGCGACGAGCACAAGAAAGAGCCAATTCCAAAGAAGTACTTTAACTTCTGCTCGTCCGGGGTTCAGTTCAGTTGCCACCTGCCCACAAGCGTGCTAAATCGTTCTTTCTCGGGCCTCCAAGGCTTGAAGAGATGGTCAACATGGTGCCCTTCCGCAGCAATTTGGCCCGCCGCACCTTGAAGGAGGCCGGGATGTCGTCGAAGGGTTTGATGTTGCAAACCGAGGCATATTCCGCCTTCGACGGGTTGACTTGGAGAGCGGTTGTGCGGTGCCTTCTCACGCTCGGGCAGGAGCAAGATCGGCGGCTGTCGTTCCTCCAGTTTCTCACAGGCACCTCTAGACACGAGTTCAACCGCTTGCAGCAAGCTTCCGTTTCACGCTACCACGACCCGCCCCGCTCAGCCCGACAGGTCTTCTGCAGCTGAACCCAGACAATCGCTGGACACCGATGCAGGCACAATGACTGCAAAGCTCCCATGTTTGCGCCGCTGCGCTTTTTGTGCACTGGGTTCAGCTGAGGCTTCTGGACATCCCTTCATCATGGGCTTTCACTACGACCCCGAATGGCGACCAGCTCCGGACCATCCTGTGCCCTCCTTCAAGCAGGCATCGGCCTAAGAGCCGGGCTCCAAGAGAGGCGGCGGTGCGGCGGTGCGGAGCGACTCACCAAGGCGGTGCCACCGAGCTCCCTTCTCAGAGCATGGAGGGGGAGCTCATTCGACGGAAAGAGTACAGCTCTTTCAAGGTCGCTTGGAAGCGCCGGCGCCCTGCCCTCAGCTTCTGCAGCACATGCATTGGATCTTCTTCTCATGTTGTGTGGACCTCCTTCCAGGTCAGGAGTGGTTCCTCTGCTGCCATCCGCGAAGCTGAGACCTGTTCCAGGAACTGGTGAGGCTGGTTTGAGCACACAAACGAAAATTCCAAGTTGCTTCATCTTTACTACATCTTGTGAACTTGTCAGTGGTGGTGTGGTTTGCAATTATGCATCAGGAGGGCACCGGAGGTGGCTCAGCACGTGCCTGGGACGAGAAGACAATGGGCCCAGGCCGTGGAACGCGGAGCCGTGCTTCGTGGAATCAGATTCTGCCACAGAGGTCTGGAAGCGGAACACACTCGGAGCGCTCCTGCGACCACGCGGGACAGTGGCCACTCGGTGACCAGTTGCACAGACGTCTGCATTGTAGCTGCAGCTGAGCTGCAGTTGAGACTGTTGCACTCTCCGAGGCCAAAGCAAGAGCGCCGAACTGACAGGACGAGCAGAAATGTGGATAAGATCCCTTGCCCTTTCACGAAAGTTCTACAACACCCTACGTTCCTTCAGTCCTCGTGAATGCCCGTCCGAGCGGCAGTGCTGATTGAGGAGCCGGCTCCGTCTGCCACTGAGATTGTCAGACCTGTCTGCAGTTGTGATGCCCACTACCACACTAAACACAGTCCATGCCCATGGAAACCATCCCTAGTCCCTAGCTCTGGACCCAAGACCGAAATCGCGAAGGGTACGGAAAGGGCTGGACCAGTGGCAGTGCTCGTACATCTGACGCGGCAGTTGCTGGCTTTATGGATCCGAGGACGAGAAGGTTCCACAGGCAGCTTTGCGTGGACTGTGGGGCCATCTCTGCATGGGCCTGGACCTCGTCGAGAGCTTCGTTCGGATGTCTTTGGATGTTGGGTGCGGACGAGATGTCATACAGCAATTTTGTTCTGTCTTCGTCTTGAGTCTTGGCTAGCATGTTGCTGCCGTTAATGCCGTGGGAGAGGGGCATACACATGCTTTCAGGCATCCCCCTGCCAGATGACAATCCAGTGGGCAGCCTAGCTACCGCAGCGGCCTGCCGACAACGCTGGTGCTACCGAGAGTGCTGCTGCTTTCAATGCAGTGACGCAATATAGTGCAGGAAGTACCTTGCGTGGTATTGGGAAGGCGGAGAGCTATCGTCCACCAATCGACAAAATGTCCGAGCGATTTTTCAGCTCCTTCATGGAGGCGGATCTGCCGGGGCTTGGGGCGACTGTGCGTTCAAGGCTTTGGGGACTTAGAAAGTAGGGGCAGCAAGCTCAGCTCTGAGTTTGCAGGGGAGCAGAAGAGTAAGAGTGTCAAGAACATGAGGTGGGGATGAGGGTGGACGCTGGATGATTACAGTTGTTGTTGTTGTTGTTGCTGCTGGCGGTGAGTACGTTTGCCTTCGTGGAGGGTGTGTCATGGTGTGTCGATTTCAGGCCTGCGAAGTGCCAAAATTTAGTGGGGCTGTTGTATCGGTATTCACCGTGTTGACAGCGAGATCGTGAAAACTCGAGTATTTTTGCATTGCAGGGTCTTTTGCAGCAGCGATATTAAAAGTGTTTCGTGCCTGTTCTGTTCACTTTAATATGCGTTTCTTGGAACTAGAGTGTTCCTTTGTGATGGGCAATGGGCATGAACGTCTCGATGTGTTGGTGATGACGTCCATGGCAGTGCAGATTTGGTATGCAGTGTGTTGCTTCCTGCTTCACTCGGGAGGGGGGATAGGGATGAAAAGGACTGTCCATGCCTCTTTTGGCCGCGTGATAAAGGCATGGACAGTGACCTTTTCAGATTGGAGCCTTGTCGGTGCGGCCGGAAGTGTTCTTGATGTACAACTCCAGTGCAATCCAGGTGTAATGTCCACTGCCGATAAGATGATGATGATGTTGATGATGATGACGATGATGATGATGGCGACGCTGACAGTTGTTTCCGGCTCGGTTCCGTTGTTGACTTGGAGAGGCGTTGGTATGGGGTTTAAGTTTCGGGTCAAGGGGTTTTTGTTGGTAACTGGCTTGAGTCGAGTTTACGCTTGGCTTTGTGTTTCCTGCTGTTGGCTTCCCTTGTTTCGGAACTGGTTGCTGCCCGGCGCCGAACATCATAAGACCTGTTGTAAGGTTTGTCGAACTTACACTATTTGTGGTTGTCTCTATAACTGTCGCACGAAGCGAGGGCCCCACGGGCGCTGTAAAACAAGCTTTGCAAAACACTTAAAAGTCCTGATGCTTTCCGAGCCTTCCGGCTACTTTCCGCAGGCGGAAGAGCGCAAGCGGCGCAGCTCCACGGAGACCAGCGAGGTCGATCACATCGCTCAATTTCTTGGCATGCTCGGCTCTCTCTCTCTCTCTCTCTCTCTCTCTCTCTCTCTCTCTCTTGCTTCCCTCTTAAGCGGAGGCCGCAGAGTTTGGTGGGGCGAGCCCGCCCAAGGCTGGTGCACCCGATGACCGCAATCAAGAAAGCACGATTCGCAGCGTCGAGGCCAGTGCCGGAGCTTCCTTCTGTTCTTCAGCCTCTTCTACAGGACGGTGGCATCCTCAAACTTCCTAAGCTACTCACCTGTGCTGCAGGCTCCACCCCAACCGGCCGGCACGCGGTGCAGCGCACTGTGGCATCGCCTTTGCTGAAGGTGCGGAGAGGAGTCAGGCTGTTCGCTGAAGCACTTGCCACGTCCACCACGTCGTGTTTCCGCAGAATCTGCCCAGCGATCTGCGCCTTTCTGGGGCGCAGCGGCCAAACTTGGGAGGACGGTGGTGGTTGGTGAGGTTGTTGTGAAGTCGCGTGAAGTCTTCAGGAACAGCTCCAACGACTTCGCCGCACGGCTCGGAGCCTTGGGGATCTGCTCAAACGGAGGAATCCCGGCGGTCCGATGCCAGGATCCTTGGCCTCGACAGCACCTGGGCCGAGCCACGGCTCGGGGCGGCCAGCCTCCGGCCCATTGCGAGGCGCCCCCATCAATGCAGCGAAGCCGCGGCGTCCAGAACGTGACAACGTGTGAGGTGGCAGTGGTGCGAGCGTTGGGCTCGGCCCTGGTCGTGGCGGAAGCCGGGGCTCCTCGCCGCAGGGCTGCAGTGAGAAAGCTGGGAGTGCATGTCTGCTGCCTGCTCTGTGCTGTTTCAGACTTCGCGAGGCCCTGGCACCTGCCCTCCCCCATGTCGGAGCTCTCCACAGCTTCAGAGCGCCTCAACTCTTCGCAGCCTTCGGGGAGCGACTCCTGCGGGGAGCCAGGGTAGGGGAGCCCAGGTGCCCAGCATTTTTTCTGCAGACCTGCATGAGCTCCATGTGCAACGAAGGTCGGACGGGGCCTTTGCTTTCGAGGATCAACGCCACTCGGAGTCGGAGGCAGTGCATCACTAAAACCGCATGATGACATATGCATGCATCATAGAAGTTCAGGAATCCAGCGCTTCCCTAAGAACCCTTGTTTGGACTTGATTTGCCATGCTTCAGCTGCAGAAGCCGCAGAAGCCTCCAAGACGTGCCTGGTTGTCCGAGCTGCCAGGGCTCCCCTTTCCCCGGGCCATACGGTGCGGGACCGCAGGTTGAGGCGCCGTTTCCTCACTTCGACTGCTTTAATGCTTCTGTTATCAGAAAGGAGGGAAGCACTTAAAGATACTCGGGCGACCAGAGCAGAGAAGTGGTTGACCGAGATGCAGCATGAATCATCCTTGCAACGGGTGTGGGGAGGGATGGGGGCGGTTCGCGGTGGTGCGAGGAATACGCAGTCGTGGTTGTAATTTTCTTGTAGTATCCCCAGCAGTGTCGGCTGCCTCAGGGCCGCATCCCCACGATGTGCATCCGCGCGCGAAATCTGGAATATCTGGTGCAGTAGATGGTAAAGCATTTCTACAGACAGGATCGCAAGCCGGAACAGCCTTGGAGCAGCGCATGCGATGCAACGTACAGTCGTGAAATGCAGCGGAAAATCGATTGGAGCCGGCGGCCAGTATGCCTTGTTAGCCTGTTCTCCCTCTCTCGCTCTCTCGCTCTCTCTCTCTCTCTCTCTCTCTCGCTCTCTCTCTCTCTCTCTGTCTGTCTCTCTCTCTCTCTCTCTCTCTCTCTCTCTCTCTCTATTCTGCAGGCGAAGGACATTCAGACCATGAGTGCGATGTGGGAGAACATAAAGCATCCTGCCAGCAAGTGAGGGCGGCCAAGCGGAAGCCTGAGCATTGTCCCAGGATCCATGAGTGAAGCACTTCTGCGCGGGACTGCGAGTGCATAGCCCGCATTAGCTACTCTAGTGCAGGCACGAGATGAGCCGAGTGGAGCTGGGAAGGGATCGTCTGCCACGGCGACTGGATATCCAGAGCCCCGGAACCACAGGCAGCGGAAAGCTTTTTTACGGACATGAGAACGAGTGCTTGAGACTGCCTATCATCGTGGGCAGCTGATAGCAAACTGGCATAAGACGTGTGACACGGCATGCAGATACAGTGTGCAATGGGTGGATAATCAGATTAAGCGAAAGTCTTGCCAAGACCGCTATGCACAGCTCGTGTTGTATGCTTTTGGGATGCCAGAGGTCCACTTGCTGAAACCTGCTGCGACAACAGTTCCTGAAAGTTCTTCTGAATTCTGTAATGCGAGTCGTCCCACTGCAAAGAGTTGACCAGCAAGTCTTGGCCAGGAACGCTCCCGTTTCGCGAAGCGATTGGCATGAACGACAATGGGCCCGTCATCCCGCCAGCTGGCAGCAGATCCAGTTCGGGGTTTGAGATCCTGTTGCTTGATAGCTCAGGCGACGGGATCCGCACAGCATGAGAACACCGTCGTCCTCGTCGCAGACCAACCCCAACGAAGAGCCTGCTTCCTCTGGTCCCAGCGGGGGCTCGACCTCCGCTGGTTCGAACTCTGGCCTCAGCGTTCTCAACGCGATGTCGCGATCTGTAGATGGGCATTTGGGACTTGGTGGCTTTACGCATGGACCCGCCAGCTCAACACGAAGGAAGGGGAAGCGTCCCTAGACCCTGAGCTTGGAGGACCTTCGAAGAGCTTCGAGGCGTTCAGGGCCCTCGCTTGTGCTCAGAAGAAGCGTCCTTTGTAACTTACCAGCAGGCCTGCGGGTCCAAGAAAGTCTGCCGTTTATGCCACTGATAGTCGTGTCTGAGGTCGCATGTCCTAGGAATTTCAGGCAACTGGTGGACCTTGGCCCAGCGGGAGGCTACTTGTTTAAAGTCGAAATTGGAATGCTCAGCTCACAGGTCCGAACAGGCCAGATCAAGAGTGCAGGCATTGCTTCATCGGACCTGTGCTGGCGCTGCGGAGGCCTCTGCGGTTAGGACAGGAGAATACTGCAGGAGGACGCAGCAGCTTCTTGGGTAAGGTGAGAAAATGCAGCTTAAGAACATTGCAGCCGTTATAGACATAGTCATAGAGGTCTTTTACATGACTCACCTGGCCCAACATGTGCCAACATTTGTTAATTGAGTGGGCCAGCCGGGGCAAGACATCGGGCGAATAGAGGAGGGATGCATCTGACTGTACGGCCCTCACTTGGCCTTGTTTGCATGCGCTCTTTTCAGGTTTTCCTGTCTCTCCTGCTTCCCATCCGAGCTCCTTCGAGGTGTTTTATTGAGGCGTTTGTTACAGCTACCCAGGTAAAGGATGGAGAGAGGATGGAGGCAGCTCGAGGCTTGGGAGAGCCACTCGCAGAATCCGACGCCATCGCCGTCGCGAGCGGTTAGCTCTGACTTCTTCTGTTGCGAGTTGTGGATCTTGTTGGCAATTGCAAGAACCGGGGCAGGTGAGGAGTTGGAATCCATGCCGGAAATTTTAGCATCCGGCCGCGAAAGCCCACCAGCAAGGGGACTGATGGTAAAGCTTTGGGTTATTTCCAAGAGATGCTGCAAGTGTCCCAACCCAAGAGGCTTGAGATTTGGTTTGCAGCTGACTCGTGGTGCCAATAGTTGTCCAGTAAATACCTTCTGGGACTTGGGGCTGAAAGTCGCGACTGAGCATTTGCAATTCGTTGCAAGTCTGTGAGATGCAGGAGCTGTTAGGAGGCTTTGCTGAATTGGTGTGCCTGAAGCCATGTCTGCGCAGAAATGAAGTGGCAGGATTTTGTAAGTCCGTGGCCGTTGCCCTTCAGCACACCGTCCAGCCTATCGTCAAGTGAGACTTGCTCACAGGACGGTGATGCATAGCACCGTCTGAATGGACAGCGAAGTCCAATCTCCAGCTTGGCTCACTGGCTGCCAATGAAAGTTTGACATGCTTACGCTTGTTTCGTCTCGTAAATCATTGGCAGCCTTGTCGACCTGCTGTACATTACAGGCACCTGGCATCAAGGCCAGCACAGCACGTGTCAATGGACATGCTTCGGGCTTGGTGCTGAACGACACTCTGCCTCGCTGCGAACTACGGAAGCTCTTTGTCGCTTTAAACTACACACTAGAAGGCAGGCCCCAAAGCATTGGTGCTTTTGCCGCATCCCAGGCTGCGTTACTAGCTTGAGTGCAGCAACAGCAGAGCAGCATACAGTCTACAACTCGCAAGTGAGCATCTTTTCTGCCAGTCTCAATGTTGGGCGTGCCATTGATGGCCTCTTTGCGCAATGCAAGGCACTGGCTCATGGCTTCCCGTTCTTTGGGTTTTTTGCACCGCTCGTAGCGCCGAAGTGGCCCTGTAATATCCTGTAGCTTGAAATTCTCAAATTTCATGCAAGACAGGACCTTGCAAATTGCAGCCTCCACGCGAGAAAGACCTTGAGGCCTGTATCTTCCCAGTAGCTACTGTCCTTTCCAACAGCTGCCAGCAACTTGATACAGAGGAAGAGCCGGCAAAGCCACGCCTGCTGCTCTACTCCTGTGGTTCTAAGACTTCTTCAGCTTTGCAAGTCTGGTTGTTTTTGAGCATCGGGTGTCGATGGCAAGGTTTCTTTTGATCCTTAACCCAAAGTCCGGAGAGGCAGGAACATATGGCAATCCATCGCCTGAGTCGGCCCGCGCTCTGATGCGATGGCAAGGCCTGGCACTCGGCTCTTGCTCGCAATAAATCGTCCCCAAGTTCATGCCGCGGCCAACATTAAGGGCTCCCGCCATATACGCCTACGATGTGCCCAGCTGCGCCCGGAACGAGGCACACCACAGAGCATGACGATTGGAGCATTGAGCTTCCAGTCTCGATTTTGCCTGCCACTAGACTTTCAAGTGTGCGCTTAGGCCTCTCCATCTGCCCCAGCAAGTCACCTTAGACGTGCGTCAAGGGGCCCAAGTCTTATGAAGGCAGTCGAGGCATTGTCCTCGCCGACGTCCGGGCTTCGCGAGAGTGCAGTCCCAGCACGATTGACAGCCCGCCACAGCATTCATATCGAGTCGTTGCCGAAGTCAAGCCAGCGCCAGGAAGAGCTTCACGTCAGAGGAATGTTACAGCAGATCGTATCAATCGAGGACGCAGAGAGAACTGCATGACTGTGCGAAAGAGATCCGAAGATACACACCTTGGCGACACGAGAAGAGTCATCTCGGGGCGGCATCCCCCAGGACCATCTTGATCGATATCATCGGGTGGACCGACCAGAGGCAGGAACCCCGCTTCCCCAGCGCATGCGCATTCCAGAAGTCTTGCATGTTTGGTGCGCTTGGATTTATTCTTGTCTTCCGCCTGCAATAGCCTGCAATATAATATATGATGCAGTGGCTTTGCTGATGGGACAGCGGCTGGTAAGAGGGATTTCAAAACGACGGTGCTGCATGGTGCCCAGGCCGCATCACTCTTCTGGGTTCAGGCCTGAGCCACCGTCCGGCAGTTCGCTAAGTGACTAAGCCCCAGCGAGACCAGTTTCCAGACGACTAGTGCGGAATGTCGTGCAGTGGGAGGTGCATTGGCAAGTGGTTTGTCATTTCGAGGTTCCTGCCTACTTTCCTGTACTCTTCTGGTTGGACCAGCGAACACCTGAGCCGAATGCCCCATGCTTGGAAAGTGCTTGTGTGCTCCAAAGTTGGGGGTAGCAACCTTCAGTGGAGTCCTGACAACTGAACAGCAGCACTCTTTGAAAGCGATGTGCAGAAAGGCAAGCCATCTTCAATGTGTGCGAGATGTTGTGACCACACTCCAGCAGTCAAGGCCAGCAGGCTTGCTAATTAGTGAGGTCGTTAGTCTGGTTTCTATTTTGCTTGGTGCAAGAGGTGTTTTTGCAAAACGTGGCATGCAGGTACTTCTCCAGGAACGCCGGGTACGATCATCTCCTTCTATATGGATATGAGTATCCGCACTGGAAGCGATTTAGGCGGGTACACTGACCATGCTGGCTGACCACGAAGCCTTTCAGCTTGACGAAGATGGTTGACCGACCTCAGAGATCTTTTCATGTCCGGTAGCGAGGGTCACCGCCGCTGCCTTCCTTCTCTCAAGCAGAATGCAAGTCGATCGAGACCCTGTCCAGGACCCGGGCCCCCCATCGGAATCGCTTAGGCGACAACATGAAACATCTTGAAGCGCTTTTTCTTCAAGGCAGTCGAACTGCAGAGGAAGCTCCCTAAACCCTTCGTTTCTACGTGGCAAAAGGGCCATGGCGCAGGGCGACCCTGCGGAGGAGGCTGTACTGGAAGGAAACACTCGGGCTTCGGGCTTCGGGCCTCACCATCATCTCAGTCCTGGTGAGGCATCCGAGGCTTCGACGAGCGCAGCCCGTGTGCTCTCCGCTGTTGAGAAGGCTCGGGAGACCCGAAGATGCCCGGGCAATGTACGCGCAGCTGCCAGCTGTTGCTCGCTGGGAGAAGTTGAGCTGAAGCGTTGCTGGCTGACTGATCCTGCTCTTTCGTCCTTGCGTGATGCCTGCTAGTCAGTGTTGTACTGAGCAATCTTCACAAACAGTGCCAAAACAGGGCCAGTGCAAGGTGCTGTTTGGGCTGCATTGGCTATAACATGTGTCAGGTGCTGGACGAGTGGCTCGCTTCCCGGCCGCTATGGCTGTCATGCGTAGCCATGCTTGGCCATCGAACTGGCCCCTTCGCCACATTGTCTTAGCTAGGGCAAATGCTGCCCAGGTTACCGGACTGCACCGCGCAGGTGTCTGGCACACAGAGCACATGTGTAAAGAGCTCTTGGCAGGACCTGGAGCTTTGCAGGTAAAGTTCGCATATTACACTGGCACCACAGCAACCTGCCAACAGCCTCCAAGGCCAAGAAGTTCATCCAGGACAAGATCTGCAAAGAGAACGACGAGGCATATTATTGGCGTAATGAAGAGCAATGCTAAAGTATCTGTGTGCTCGAGGGTTCAGATCTTTCGTGCTGCTTCATGCCTGTGCGGCAGATATGCTGCACGCATGACTCTAGGTCGAATGCAGACTCATGGTAGTTCATCTGAGCTCAGGAGTGCAAGCGTGTTCGGCAATGGCTGCTGCTTCGCATGAACGGGCGGATATGGGAGCATGGCACGCCACTGATGTGTCGGTCGCCCGACAACGTGCATGCCTGAGCTTCGCCCTACGACCAGATTGCCAGATGATCCGATGAGCCAGCTACTAGCTCATGACACGGACAAGCATGCATGGACTCAAGCAAGCGATCGTGCAACCAAGGATGCAAACAAGAATACACAATTCAGGCCCATACCAGCCTTCTTGCCGACTGTTCTTCAAGATTCTTCAAGTATCTTCTGTCTCTGCTTTTTTGTCTTCTCGGTATAGAAACCATCCATATTTACGGTGTGCTCTCCGCTGCACCCATGGTTGCCGCTACTTGATCTACCCGTTTGTGCCATTTCTCCGTCTGTCAAAGAACTGGACACTCTCAACAACGGAAGAAACCCAGAAAGCTGTCCGCTTCTGCATAATCAGTGTTGTTCTTTCTCTTCATACATGACACAATGGAGTAAAGTCGTCTTCATCTTTATCAGTGGCCGGAAACGTAAGAGAGGACGCCTGTGTCTCCGTATTTCACAAGTCCATAAGAGGTATAGTGAACTTTTTCGGTGATAACAAGCAGAACATTGTTGGTATTTTTCGTTTCTGGCGACTAAGAAGACATGTTACTTATCCATGAAGACTGCAGATAAATCCATTTTTGATCTTCTTAATGGTGTGGAAGTAACCTCCATGTCTTCTGTCCAGGTCAACCGAGAACGGCGCACGCGCCTGCGCGGCGCAGTCGGCGCGCAACGTGCTTGCATGGCTTGTCCGGAAACCACAAATGCCGCCGAAGGTGAGCATCCCGAGCATCATCGGACACCGCGGGTGGGATGTGCAATGTGCTTTCCTTGAGCATTCCGAACCCCTAGAACCTCCTGCGGCGAGTATCACGAGCATCATTGGATCCCCGTTTCTTCTTTCTGGGAGCTGTCGGTATCCCCGGAAACGGCATAAACAACGCTGTTTTTCTCAGACGACATTTACCGATCGATTAGGCCTTGGAAGGGAGCGGGGTTCCTAGTGCTACTTCTAGTAGCTCGAGCGCGAGCGTGATCGTTCAGGTTCCGGGCCTCCGCAGCAGCCCCGTCTGGCAGCGGGAGGACTTCTTTGCTTAAGGCGTCCGTACTGGTGGGGCTTGTGCAGACGAGCCACAGCAGCGAAACCTCGAGAGACAGACAACCTGTTCATGGCCCTCGCAGCTGGGGCTTCGCTTCTCGTTGTCGCGCTTTTGCAGGACTCCCCATGGCTATCTGCAATCGAGGCTGGTGACCTGGTTCTGCTCCTGTCATGCTGTGAATCTACAGGAAGGCAATGCGCCCATCCTGCAATCTGCGTCCGGTGATGCGGCAGAAGCTCTGCTTTGGCCTTGGTGGTACACGTGCCACTCGTTCCGCTACCCTGCCAGGACTAAACCATCCAGAACATGTAGCAACAGCGACAGTCACGCATCGGTAGCCGAGAAAGCATCATGACATTTCCGTGCAGTTCAGCGCCGAACCAGAAGTCTCATCAGATCTCTCAGCCATTAGCACTTTTGGCGGGCTATGGAACAGCAGCAGCCAACTAGCCGGTGTCGCTGCGCTGCATGCCGTGCGCACCACGGACAGCACTAAGAAACGGATCACAGCAGCTGCCTCTTCCCATCCGTGAATTTCCACAAGTAAATTAAATCCGTCCTCGTATGGATGCATTCGTTGCATACATACCACCGTAAATGTAAAGGGATCCATGGTTGAACGTGCGATCCAGGTGCGAGGTGCTTTGTGACGAGCTGGTGCTTCGATGGTGACTTGTTCTGCAAGACGGCGAGGAGAAGCATCATGAGACAGTGGGACGAGTATTTGCATCTGAATCTGCGAAGGCTTCCCACCATTGGCCTCAATCTGCCCGATCCGCTGCCGCTGTTGGCGCGGACCCAGGCACTCTTCCAGGGACACACAACAAAGCCTTTCATTGCTGCGTGTATGTCTCTCTTCCCGAACTGCAAACGTTCATCTCATACATGTTCCTTTCGAAGCATCTGCGGTTCAACAAACGGAAGTGGCCTACAGATTCAGAGCAGCTCGTTGGGGAGCAGATGTCTGTGATAAGCCTGCTGCAGTCTTCCTTTGCAAGCTTTGCGATACGACTTCGTAGGCTTCAATTTCACGAGCTCGATGCTGTGCTCCTGCATGTGTCCAGGGGGGTTTCTGAGCAGTGTTCCTCCGGGCTTCTCTTGCTTTGTGAAATTCTCAAACTTGTTCAGACGACCGGAAGGCCCGGCGCCTCCGCGTCCCGCTGCTGGTGGCCGTCGTGTCCTTTTTTGCTGCAGGCCAGTTCTTGTAACAAACACGCACCTAGGACCTAGGAGCAACATGGCACACTACGGGTGCCCTGTTCAGCGCACTCTTCGCCCAGGCGCACTGCAGCTGTGGTGCTGGGTTGAGGGCTGGTACCATTTGCTGATTGGTCTTCCCCCGGTCTGCGAGGCCGGTGCAAGTAACATGTCGTAACTAGCTATGTCTGTTCCATCGCCAGTGTCAAGATCTTAGTTGAAATGTGCTTCATCGTTCCTTTTCCATACGGCTTAGAATGAGCAGCTGGCCGCGTGTCTGTGCAGGGTGTGCGACAGTGGTTGCTCGCCTGCACTCAGAGCTGATCCGAAATCCGGAGCCGGAGCATTGGCCTGGAGGCCTCGACAGGTGTAGCAAAGCTAACAGCTAACCTTCTGGATGCCCGCCTTTGACAACAAGGTTACTGATGTATCTGTTGGCTTTGACCATGGTTGCTTGGCCGATTATCCGAGTCAAGCGGGCAGTGTGCGTGTGCGAGAGTGCAGTGGAAGGGTGTTCTTCAAGGCTCCTTTTATGTACCTGGTGGCGGTTCCGGTCGTCCTTTATTATGCCATCTACGGCGGTCCTGTCGTGGAGCCTGGCCTCAACAGAGTGACAGCTCGGAGCAAGCTTGCGACCAAAGTGGACAACTCAGGCTTCGGAGTCTGACGCCTGCTGGAAGAAGGCTCCAGACATGCCCCTTGGCACGAAGAGGATCCACATAGCTTTCTCAGTTTTTCTGTCATGTCTTTGCGCATCCGGTTTCGTGTAGCACCAAAGGCAGCGGTCGCAGCTGACATTTGTCTGCTGGGTACCCTTGAGTCTATATCGGGCTGGGCAGACGTGTATTCGGCTCAGGCATGTCTTCATTCTGAACATCCAAAAACGCAGCTTGTGGACTGCGATCGCGATGCTGCTGCTGGCGCTGTCGCTTATGGTGCTCAGGCCGGAGTCGGCGAACGCGTCATGGAGAACTAAATGACGTTCATCTCCGTCGTTTCTACGCCATTCTGTGCAGGTATCGTGTTTCGAGCCTGCGGCGGCCGCAACCTGAATCAAGAACTGCCTGTCCTGGTCGGAGACGTGCTAAGGCGGCTGTGGGCTAGCACCCAGCACACACACACACACACAGACAACTGCCAAGGATGTGGGACTCATCGGGTCCGGCGTTGGAGACAGTGATCAGCTCCATTGTGGAGGTGCCTGCTGCACGCTTATTGTTGTAGACTCGACTCATCCTTGAGTGTGTTACGTGTGTTTGCAGCTTCTTTTTGTCTTGCTTTTTACCTGAGGCCCCGGCTGTGACCGTGGAACCCGGCACTGAATGCGCGATCTGCCTCGAGACGGATGCTGCCGACGGCAGCAGCTGGAAGGCACTACCCTGCCACCATGCATTTCACGAGGACGTTGCCCGACAATTTTTCTCATAGCCCACACGTGATCGGTCATCGCCAGTGGTTTTGGGTTATTGTCCCCACTCTCAAGACACAGCTGCGCCGTGATAGCCGGGGAGACCGAGAGGACTGCCTCCTTCAGTGGCTGCGCTGTGGCCGTCGTTGTCC